AAGAGACCTTTCTCTTTCACAAGGCAACTTCCCACTATAAATAGCTCTTACAGTAGTTGTCTGCATGCATGTGAGTAAACATTAGCATTTAAAACATACATGAAATCTAACACCGCAGCCAATAAAACTGAGATTGTGGACTTCTTTCCTTAGAGGGTCAGACAGCCACCATGGCCCCTTTAAATAATGCATGTAAATGTTAGGTGTGCTTCTATATTTAAAGGTGTCTGCGTTTAAAAAAAAAAATGGGTTTGGTCCTTTTATAAGGTCATCGTGTCCCATTTAAGAGTGTAAAGCCTGTATTTAAGTTTCCATCATCCCCGAAAAACGTCTAGAGCAGCTAATAAGGAAAACCTAAAGGAGGAATACACCCAAACACATTTTAAAATAGTTGGTGGTAGATTTCCTTTTTTTCAATTAGACTCAATTAGATCAATAGGAGCTTGTTCCAGGTCCAAACAATCTACTTGCAATTATAAGTTTCCACAAATTGAGAAGTTACTTTACTATACAGTACAACATGCGACAAACATAAAATGATTACAAATAGTCAAATATGGGGAAACAGAAGTGGTCCTAAAACAGAGCCCTGAGGACCTTCTTCACTGGAAATGAAAAATGAATCAACATGACTTATTTAGGACGTTTGAACTTCAGCGTTAGGTATTAAAACTAACAGAATAAAATACATTAATACATAGATATGTTAAAAAGCCAAGTATGATCACCTGAGGTAAATGTAGCGTGTAAACTAATTACTTGGGGAAACAATCCGGTCTTAAGCGTCGTCTCTGAACTTCCTTTTTTGGTATTAGTTGGCTAATGTGACTGTAAACAATGTGAAGCACACCATTGGTCCGGATATGTGCTGGCTACACCGGAACCCCAGAAATATTGTCCCTTGCCCAAGAGGTTCAGACCCAAGCCAATGAGTTTGGTGCTAAACTAGCACAGCTTTACACACAAAAGAACTAGGAAGTACTATGTGTGCATGAAGCACATTTAGCTACACCGCTAGCACCAAAATGGCTTACAGTCATGCTCTTACTGCTTTATAGGTGCGTTGACAAATGGGTTGCCTCAATCACCATGGGCGTGTTAATCTCAAATGTACTAACTATGTATATTATCAACATCCCAGCTGGTGCATTTGATACAGCAATAACAGTAGTTGTAGCACATTGTCTATTTATAATAAGCCATTGGCCACAGATGTTTTAATGGTTTTTTAATGGCCTGCAAGGCAGCGATGTGGCAATGAGACACTCAAGCGAACACTTAAGAGAATAGAGCCAAGAGGTGTGTGTGTGTGTGTGTGTGTGTGTGTGTGTGTGTGTGTGTGTGTGTGTGTGTGTGTGTGTGTGTGTGTGTGTGTGTGTGTGTGTGTGTGTGTGTGTGTGTGTGTGTGTGTGTGTGTGTGTGTGTGTGTGTGTGTGTGTGCAGCACTGTATGAGCAAACGCCTCACAAAAGAGGAAAGCACCTGTCGCATGAGTCAATATGGAGAATGGACAGGTGAGTGACCAATATAGTGCCAAATCAATGAAAGGGCCAATTAAGATGCTACATTAGTATTTAGTTTTAACTGTACGTTTGAAAATACTCCATGAGCCTAATTTAAATATTGTGAAATATGTAAATGAGAAGTTATTTGTGTTGGCCAAGCCTTGGTGACTCAACCTATCTAATTTGGGGTCTGCTGCAGCTATTTATTGACAACAGAAGAAAGGTATTTGTTCTATTCAGATGGAGAAGTAGTGTTGGCCCAGTCTTTGGATTTAATAACAGGCTATTCAGATCTGGAGCTCTTCGTCTTCTGTACAGCAAGCGATGCAGGGTCATCAGATATTTGTGTTATGTCGTCACACTTGGTTTATACCTGGATCGCAGTGGTCATAATTCAATGGAGTGGAACACTGAAGGGCAAACTCTTTTAACTATAGTCACCCCTGCAGCCGTATACAAAAAATGTGTGCACACCCGGCACAAGTGTGGGGCAAATGTAAAGGTTGTGACCCTGAAATGCTCGTTTAGTTACTTCCTGTCATGCCCAATGTTGGCACTTCCGTTCTTTACTGAGGACATCAGACTTTCAGGCCTGTTTGCCCCTGTTAGTGAGCAAGAGAAAATAGCAAGGAAAGTGTTTAAGGAGGTGAGACTCACTCTGGAAACACTTCTGCTTGACCTGTGAGTCACTCCTGTGAAGTTTTTGTCTCCACTAAATCCTGTTGGATAAACACATTTATCAAAACAGTCAACAATGTTATAGTTTTCTTCTTGGTTAAAGAGAATTGTTTGCAAATAATTGCTCTAAAAGATAGTTTATGGTGATTTTTTTTGTACACTTCAATGTGCAAACACTGGTAGTTTTTGGTTGATTTGGAAGAGCAGCTGAAGTCGATGCCTTTGGGTCTGTTAGTTGGTTGATCAGTGGTAACATCCCCAACAACAGGCATCAAATTGAATCAGAAATGAATCAAAATCTTTTCTTGTGATACCAGAATAACAACGATACCGCACCAACATTTTAAGGTTCTTACCAAAAAGAAAACAATTTTGGTTTGCTCCTTTCTTACCTCAATGAGCCGTGACAAGTCATATAACAGTCTCCCCTGATTTGACCTTGGGAGGGGTTAACCAGCAGCTGGAAAAAATTTCTCCATGGCAGACTTTAGCCGTTTTTTGCCACAGAGATCATCTTTTATGAGCTAGGAAAAGAAAAAAGAAAAGAAAAAAAGTGTCAAAGACAGAAATAATCAGATGGTGGAAAATGTTAACCAAGTTTTCTGAAAACTCTTGAAATGCTGTTAATAATCTGAATCAAAGTACTTGAAAGGTAAAACAATCTAGTTATTGAGGATGTAAACCAGGCAGTGACAGGGTGACTGTGAGTGAGGGGATCCCCTCTAATGATCTCACCAGGCAGTGACAGGGTGACTGTGAGTGAGGGGATCCCCTCTAATGATCTCACCAGGCAGGGGTGCTGCAGTCAAACAAATGATAGTAGATGTAGTTTATTTAAAGTGATGTTGCTTCTCAGGCAGTTGGGAGGAGGTGGTGGTGGTGGTCCCTCCCCCGCTGCCGGGAACAGCCACAGATCATCCCGGAGTGCCAGCTCACCCCTTTCGGCAGCTTCAGTGGTACGGCCCCGCCTCACTCCAGTAAAGCACATGTTGGGTGATGAGAGGACATGAATCAGAGAGGACAGGGAGAGTAAGAGAAGAAGCTCAGAAGGATAACGTTCAGTCACTGAGAGGCTACCGGACAGGACAGTATGGACTAAAAAGTGTATTTTTTTCGTAATGTAATTGCCAGAAAATCTGGAAATATTTCATCCTGTCTTGAGAGTTCCGAGGGTTGACCTAAAGCTCAGGTAAGAAGGAGGTTTCCATACTTTGATGTGATGTAATTAAGTCCCTTAATATATATATATATATATATATTTTTTTATAATTGAGATCCAGAATTTAATACATTTTTCCTGGCAAGAAAAAATATTTTGTCGCTCTTCAAAATACAAATTTAAATATTTGTATTCAAACTATATATTTTCGTCTCAAAATGTTGTCCATAAGACTTTGTAATACATTCTGGTTACACTAGATTAAACACGGCTCCAAATAAAATGTACATCCTGCCATTTCCTCTCATAATGTTAATTATTATGTCATCATTAAAAACAACCACAGGAACAAACTGTGTTTACAACTTCCTTGCCTGCGCTTTGGTTCTTGTTGCTACTCTGCCTATAAGTTGTTGTTGACATGGGTTTTGAAATAGCTGCGTCCCAAGCGATTAACCATCTGCTTGCGGGGGTCGCTTAAATTGGAATACCCCACATATGAGCCATCTGCGGTCATGTATATGTCTTGTTTCACTTTGCTAATGTAAACTAGATTTGGGAAGCGAGGATTGGTGTATTACTTTCCTTTGTAAGCATACGTTTTACCACAGAATGAGCTGTTGCATGTATGATTGTTGCGTTTTATTGGAGCAAGTATAGTGTTTAATATTTTCTAAAAGTTCCCTGGCCTATAATTAAAGTACACATTGTGTGTGAATTACAGTATTGGACCTTACCTCTATTTGTGTGTCCATGTGCCACAAATGAGGCTTATATTTAAACTTTTTTTCAAAGCTTTTCCTACCTAACTTTTCAACACAGACCTTTATGCGTGAGAAGAAATGACAAATTAGTTTCTATACATGTCAGATACTTTAAAAAGATGGTGATTTTCCTCAATATATTCTTTTTTACTGTTGCCAGGAAGGAGCGATAACTTTCCAAAAGTATTTAACTTTTCTTTCAGACTAAGAATGTGACTTTTGAGAGATCACATGGCACACAGTGTTACTGTTGAAGCTTAAAAACGGTCTAAAAGTATGCCAATGTCTTTAGACCAATTTTAGTTGTTACTTTGATTGTGCAACTTGTAAGCAATAAGCATGAAATTGCCAACATGATTCAGCAGCCAGAAATCAACTTGAAGACAGCTCATCCTCCTTCAGTACAGCTCTGGGCTTTCAAACTGGCATTGCTGATCTTCTGTTTGGCTCGCAAAGACCAGCTGTTTGAGTGTGTTGGACAGGAGTCGCCCCGGTTCACGTCAGACCATGCAGGCCTGCACTGACGCAACGTGACAGTCGCTTGGGCCCTGCAAATGTGCTATTAATAGAGCCGGAGGGGCTGTGTTGCTGGTGGCCGGGCTACATGCTGAACCTGAGAGGCAAAAAAGATGGGTGCAAAGGGGGGTCACTGTGCTTCTGGTGTGAGTTATACAGGTCCATACTAATGTGATAGGTCGGAGCCAATGAAACCTATTTGTGTGGGAAGACAAGATGATTGAAATCACCTCAAGCAGGTTTTGTTTTCATCAGAATCATCTTGCAGTTCAAAAAAGACAAACGGTATCCCTTTTTTCTACTTTTCAATTATGTGTATGGTTGGACCTGCATAAAAACATGGAACTTCTTTAATGACTTTAGTATACGTCTTTTTCAGATGTTGTTCACACCCAAGGTCCACTTGATGGAAGTCTATATGCCCGGGTCCGCAAGAAAGACTCCCTGGAGGGAGTTGTCACCATCAATGGCCTCCCAGTCCATGAAAACCCCTTGACCAATGTTGAGAACCCATTACAAAACCCCAGCCATCCTCTCCAAACCACTGACCAAACCATACCTGTGACAGGCCACGCCTCCCTTCCCGCTGTTGACCACACCCTCTCTGTGAGCAGCGACTCAGGCAACTCTACCGCCTCCATCAAGACTGATCGTACTGATGAGCACAGCCAGTCCTTACAGGGCGCCGTAAACCCCGCCAACCCAACAGCGACCCAGCCGCCGCTCAGTCCGCAGGAAAAAAGAGAGCTCGACCAGCTTCTGAGCGGTCTCGAAGCAACAACTCAGCAGAGACAAGCCTACCTGTCCACATCCAACAGTCCAGGAGGTGGTGTCCGACACTTGGTCCCAGCGCAGGTGCATGTGAACGGGGGCCACACCAGGCTAATTGGCGCCCCTTCAACAGAGGAGCGTGAGACGGATATTCTAGACGACGAGCCACCCAATAGTCAAGAGGGAAACAGCGTGGACAGCTTGGGCACGCTCTCGTCTTTAGAGGGCCACGCCACACCGGCTGACCTCTACTACCAATCACAGACACCCAGCAGTAGGCCAAACGACGGACCCTACCTTGAGAGAGTTGTTATTGGGGAAAAGTTGAGCGAAATGCCCGTGCATGGAGTACGAACGCCCACGGCGTTGCAAGAGATGTCTGTGGACTCTGCATCGCCACAGGGGGGATACAACAACTACCAGAATGGAGGAGGGATGTACCGATCACAGTCATTTGGGAATCAGCCAGCCAGTAGCCCTGAGACCAACCCCAAACTGATGCCCAGGGCCCCGGAGAGGAGCACCAGCAGCCGTGAGGCTGTTCAAAGAGGTCTCAACACCTGGCACCAGTATAGCCTCCCAGATGATCCGTTTGGCCCCCCTCTTCAGTCAACCCACAGCCTGCCCCACTTCCCCACCTCCGCCTCGCAGCGGGACATCGAGCAGTCCATCGAGGCGCTAAACATGCTCATGCTCGACCTGGACCCAATCAACTCCCTCATGTCTAAGTCCCATAGTGCTCCTCCTGGGGAGAACAGCCTCAATTCATCCCAGGCGCCATTTTCACAGACCCTCGCAAGACCCTCATACCAGGCAGACTCTGCTATCCATGGTTACAACAACTCAGGGTCTGTCAACAGCAACTTCCATCAGCCCCAGCGGTCACCTGGGAGAGTCTCAGCGTTGCCCAACCAGAGCCCAGTGACGGAATCGTCAGTCTACTCTCCCCAGAGGTCCAACACTGGCTACCAACACCAAAACATCACCCCAACACACACCCCAGAGCCCTACCTCCAAACACGCCAAGCAGCCCACCAATACCCTTCAGATCCATCCCCTAATTTCAAACAGCAGGTTCCAGTTAAGCCTGTGAACTCCCACCCAGGAGGCGGGGTTTCCCACTCCCCAGACCTGCAGGGCTCGTCTCCTTATCCAGGCTACAGTGCCTCTTCCTCTCCTCTCCCAACAATCACCCCCCAGCCCAAGGAAACATCTTCTTCATCCTTGCCCAGAGAACAAGAGGCCGAGGAGGAGACGCTCAACCTGGGGGGCCTGGTGGCTCAACGCATCGCCGGTAAGGCTTAGAGCTATTGAGGAGGATGAACTAATGAGGTGTGCAATGCAACAATAATGATAGTTTTACAATAACAAGAGCAGAAATGATGATCATTTTGGTGAGTTACGCTGCATATCTTAGCTGGGTTTAGGTCAGGGAGATCTTTCTGCCAATATGATTGCAAAATGATGGAGAGTAGTTAAAAACAAAGGCCTTTATCAAGCTGTAGTCTGCTGCCGGCAACTTGTTTCATCTTCAACTAGAGGCATCTTTTGTGTCCAGCACCATGCAGTGCATTAGCAATGCAGCTTTAAGCAGCAGAGCTGGTAAGAGTGGAGATGGGATGAGAGTAAGAATAGCTAGGAGTTCAGAGAGGATCCAGCTTCCATGCATTGTCTACGTCCATATTTACATTTATTTGAAACCATGTGGATGCTCTCAAGCGCCTCCCAGTGGAAGAAAGTTGTAAATTCATCCTATTTCTAACCATTTCTAAACATGATAATCATCAACCATATAGATATATAATAATATAAACCATTTTATAGCAGCAATAAAGCTTAATTGGTTTATAAACAGGTTGTCATCTCATTTGACATATCGTTTGATTTTCTTCTCACTTTCATTAGATCCATTTCTGTTCTGATGTTTTTCCCCCTTTTCTGTTTAATCCATCTCTCTGCTGTATGGACAACCCTTCCCACCATTTGCTTCCACCTCTGCACCTCTCTCACCTTCCTCCTCCGCCTTTTTCCTCCACCTCCTGCCCTCCATCCACGACCCTGACCTCCCTCCCTCTCTGGGAACAGAGTACAACGCTCGTATTCGGGGCATCAGTGCTAGCATGACACCGCAAGAATCTGACCGCCATCGCTCCTTTTCCTTCTCTGGTTTGTCCACTTTCCGTCGCCTTCTGTTTGCATTTATGGAATCTTTGATGACTTTTCATTTATTATTATTTTTGCTCTTTTTCTACTTATCCTCTGCTTTTTGTATTCCCTTCACTTCTCGACTTCCCATATTACTTTTCTCTGTCTGGCTCTCATGATAAAAGCAGGTTACTTAATGTTACTTAATGTTCTCGAAAACAACCCCAGGGTGGGGCACAAGCAACATAAAAAAAAAGCTGTTTTTCAAATGTACCTAGGAAAGTTCCACATGGTGAATATGTTGTGGTGTTTTAGGGGTACGCTCCAGAGGAATGACCCCAGAAGTGACTCAGGAGAAGGGTCGGGGTCGGCGTCGGACCACCAGTGAGGGACAGTACCAGAGCAGCCATGACAACACGTCGGTGGTGGATTCACCGGACTTCACCCACAATCTGGCCCTCAACCCGGGAGGAAGACCCAGAGAGGTCAGCATTTAATAGTGATGATGAGAAAGGACATTAGACAAAGTTCCATTTCCATATCGTAACAAAGAATAAAAGGCTCTCACTGCTTTTCAAAAGACACATCAAGTTTAAGGTTAAGCATTTTTTTTCTTTTAATAGTTGTAAATCACTTCGGTTTTGTTCAGTAAGCATAACAGGATTTTCTTTATTTACAGCCTATGTTATGGTTTGGACAGAGGTGGAAGAAGTACTCAGATCCTGTACACATGCTCTGTTACAAGTCCTGCAGTCAAGTTGTTACTTAAGTAAAAGCACAGAAGTATTAGGATCAAAATATACAAAAAGTAAAAGTAGTCATTATGCAGAATTATTTATTTTAGGATAATTTATATTATACATTTTAATATTTTTGCATATACATTTTGCTTGTCAAATCACTTTTCTGATATCTGTGTGTCCGTCCCCTCTGGATCTCTTCCAGGGTCAGATGCACAGCTACCGGGAGGCGTTTGGAGACGACGATGCGGAAGGGTTTCCCAACAGTCCCACCTTCAGAGGCGGTGGTGAGAATTCCCCCCAGACCCCCAGCTTCCCCGTGTCGCCACAGACTCCTTACTTCAACTTGTGTAGGTTCACCCTGCCTGCAGACTGAGGGCTCTCTCAAATCCTCTAAACAATTACCTTTGCCTTGTTCCTTAAAGTTGAAATGGTTTTGAAAAAAACAGGAAAGGACACGTTTTTTTTTTTTTTTTATCGAACTCACTACTTAATGATGTTTTATGTAATTTTAGTAGAGTTGCACAATTCAAAATGAAACACAGAAAAGGCACTAAAACACACACCACACACACACACAAAATGGACACCTTGTAAACTTCCTAACATAAACAGACACAAAAATGAAGTTTAGGCAAAAAAAATCAACTAATAAACCAATAAATATGACTAACATATATACATTTCCCAACCTAAACGCTCAGTAGCAAAGGAAATGAAGTCTCTCTTCACAGTCATGAGCCTCCCACACCCCTTCTTTCACATCTGCAGCCTCGTCAATTTCTGGAATAAAACTATTCCCTTGTTCTCCTGCATTATTTACCCCATAACTCCTTGTATTGTTAGTGTGCACTGTCCCAGCCGAGGCATTGAGGTGAAGTATTGAGGTGAAGTTCAAAGGGACCTGTAGAGCCGCACAGTGCCGCTTCACTTCAGGACACTCGGGTTTGCCCTCTTGACCCCAGGCCTCGTAACTTAACCCCCTACCGTCGACCCACAGCCAACCTCCGGGGAAGAAACGCAATCCGGTCCACACTCGTTCCGTCGTCTCCCTCTCCTGTAGCTCCCTCTGGATCAGCAACATCTCTGTGTCCGAAGTAACGCTGGCCAGGTCTCTGTGATGCTCCCTGCAGTATTCCAAAGCCTCCTGCCAAGTCTTTCTCTCCCGCACCACCACCACTGTGTAGCAGAAGAAGTTCAATCTAAGCAATGGCGGTGCATCGTGCCAAGAGTAGTTCTTAATGAAGCCGTGGTCTTCATTTGAATGTTTATTTGGCTGACCGTTTTCCCAGAAAAATGTTGACACCTCTGCGCCTCCGGACCACGTCCATTTGTCAGCGTCTGCGAGATTCCTTATCAGTCCAATCCACTTGTATTCAGTGGAGTAATTCGCAAGCTCCATAAGTCGATTGATCTCAGATTTGTATCTGACAGGAGCCAGGTCTGTGTGATACTGCTGGCAATAGGCAAGAGCTTCAAACCACGACTTTCTCTGTTCGATGTAGACGTACTTGCCGAGAGTTGCATACAAGCTCAGAAGGAGCAAAACCAAGGTGGAGATTTGATCCATTACTGTCTCGTGTTAGAGAAGGAGAGACAGTCCTGCAGCACACTGAGGGGCAGAGAGCTTTAAAAAATGTAGATGCTGAAGATGTGACACTTTTTGTTTTGCATAAGACGAGCCCCCTCCTTCTGTCTTCACATGTTTTAATGAGAACACACAGCTGCTTACTTCTAGTTATGAGGCATCATGCAGGAAGCGATATACCATCAAACCATCTCTTATTTATATATAACAATACAACAAAAACAATTTTCACAATCCACAAGTATTTTTCCCACACAAGGAAAGATTACTTTCAAATTTGAGGAGCATAGAGAAACGTATCACATAATGAAATTCCGATTATTGTATGTTTTAAAGTATTTATATTGACTTGAATGTGTGAGCTAAAGAAAGGCTCTTGATCCATTGACATGACAATACCTCACGATTATAGTCCAAATAATCCACAATGACCATATAAATGCTGATTGACATGGAAATAATAATAATAATAACAACAGTCAAATCTAACTTTGTTTTTGTGCATTTTGTACACAATATTAGGTGTATTATTAGGAACATGATATTAGTCTTTTTTATATTCTGGTTATGATCACCCCTTGTCCTAAACATACAGAGATAGAGCCCACCTTTACATTACATCGCACCTTTCGCAACGATGTAAAACAAATGTTGAATTTGCTTCAGCAAACGTGAAGCCCTGCATGACTTGACAGAGAACAACAGCACATAGCAGGTGTGTGCAAATCATGTTTATGGAGGACACAGTATGTCGTTTGTCTTTTTGCTTTTCCTCAGGAAGCAAATTTAGAGTACATATGTAAAGAGAACTGGACCTGTTGTTCTTTTAGTTCTCCTTTGCATCGTCTTCTGCACATTTCAAATGTTTACACTTCAGATATCTAGAAATATTGACGATGCACTGATGTCATTTTTCATGGTTTCACATGTACATGTCCTTTTTTGAAGTTAAAAGAGCCATACACACTGAAACAAACGTTGACTTATTTACAAACCATTAGACACCGACCCCCCTGTTCAGCATGTTTCTGTGACAGATTGTCAGGATACTCTTGTTAACCAGCCCTGCCCCCCCCCCTCCCCTCCCCTCCTGCAGTCAGTCCTGAACACACACAGCTGCTGCAGTAAGAATCTGCTCTGTGGTTCATATCTAACGCTCTCCGTGCCACCTTAAAGGGATAGTGCGGCTGTTTAAGTGGGTCAGTATGAGGTACTCTAGCAAAATAAAGATTGACTATAGATAGTACCTCGTACATCCCCACTAAATAACATCTATCCCTTTAAGTGAGCAAATATACAGAATCCATGTCATGCTTAATGAAAAAAGTTAAATTCCCGAACGATTGATGTCTATTCGCTGAGGATCACTTTACCTTGTTACGTTGGTAGCAGTGACAGAGGAAAGTGACTGTTCAGATTCCTCTCTGGCTCCCGAGACAGACATTCTCTGACATCTTGTTTTGGAAGTAACTCTTCAGTTTTCTTTATGGCAACATTAATCCAGAGTTGTTGACTTTTAGTAGCAGCATGCTTTTAAACTTCCAACCTTTTCATGACTACATACCTGTGTTGTGGATGGCTGATTATTTTCAGCTACAGCGCCATTATTTGTTTGGGGGACAAATTGCCAATTCATTTATCTAGTTTCACACATTTTCGGAAAAAGACCACTGGAAAAGACTTCGGATTTATCGGTGACGCTGATATCTGACATTTTTCATGTCAAATAATTATGATATTTAAGAGAGTACGAAATAGTATATACTTTGACAATTTTCTCCTTTGTAAAGCACCGACAGTATTTTACATTACTATAACATATTTAGTTTGAATTTGTACATGATCTGGCATTTGAAAACATGCACAATTTCAGCTTAATATCTCGTTTTAAAAAAAATATATATGTATCATTGTTTTGATGCTAAAGTGAAGAACTGTTTTTTCATTCCTTAAAGTGGTTGTGTTTCATCCTTGCATGGCTTCAGTGTACATTTCTCATCCCACTGCCATCCTAAGTGTTTATGCTTTGTTGTAATATTTCTTTTTCCTCTCGTTGCCTGCAGCTCGCTCTCCTCCAGGTCTGATGAAGACTCCTCTGTCAGCGCTGGGCCTGAAGCCTCATCACCACGCTGGATCAGGTCAGTTATCAAATATTATTCATTCATGTTCTGTCTCTCATCTTGCAAATATATTTCCACTTGTTTACAGTGTTAGCTCTTTGTTTGAACTCCTTATTAATCACTTGTGGAAAATCCAAAGATAAAAAAAAATTTTTTGGGAAACTACCGGTAATATGTTGTCCTAAACCAAAATTACATTTAAAAAAGACATCCTTCAGGAAAAAATTAAACAATATTACCTTTCGACATTTCACAATAAATCACGGTTTTGGATTTACCTAATGAGCATTATCTAAAATCGTTTGTAGATCGAATGCAAACAAACTGTGGTCTCAATGGAATTGCAGGTGACACCTTTTTTTCAGTAGTTTGGAAGTGAAAGAGAACACAACTTCCCAAATCTACATTTTTAAATCAAACCAAACTAGATATTTACAATCTAAGCCTTAACCTTCAAATAAAAACCTGAAAACTAACCAAAACACACTCTCAAAAGCAAAGAAAATCAAACTTAAAATGATGTAGCAGACTTAAAAATCTAATAAAAAGACACATTCCTGAAACATTGTACAGTGTGATGGTGTGCTCAGTGCAGCAGGGTCTCTGCATTATGTCATCCTGAAGCTCTGCAGTGATTAGCTGCAGTGGTTTTTAGCTTCTGCTGCTTTCTGCTGCTTTAAACTGGTACTACACCTGGAGCTGGTTCCACTAAATGCTAACAGCTAACTCTCTACAGTTCTGGCTTTGCGCTCACATGTGTCCTCCTTGTCTCCTCCTCTCCCACACATCTCTTCCTCTCTTACCTTTTCTCGCTGTCAGACTCTGATTCTAATGATGGAGATCAAGGTAAGGCCACTGCTGCACAGCTCCTGACCCCCACACATTTCCTTTGTTTTTTCACTTTTACACTGCGAGCTAAATATTTGCTGCACCCCAGGTCTCCTCAGATTCTCTTTTCAGGACAACGTGCTGAATGACACACTAAGTTGAGACTAACTGTGTGTTTTGGATGCTCTGTATTCTTCAGATAATCGCTATTTTGGGGAGTCCAGAGGGTTCAACTTTCCTCTTTCCTCCAGCAGTCCCATCCACAGCGCTGATGGGTGAGTGCAGTTCCTCTGTGTATCAATATATCATGTATGCGAGTTTCATTGTGCAACTGAACACCACCTTTTTGTCATTTTTGATGTGGAATGTGAAACCACCTGGGATCTCGTTGAACTGACATTTGGCACACATTTCTAGTTATTCTAGGAAATGATCAAGATATTTATTAATAATGCAGATACTTGCGCAACCCTTATACTTTGTTTCACCTCTTTATGAAGCTACTTGCAGGACTCTTGCAGCTTGAATTTGTATCCTCTTGATTCTACCTCTTGTAGGTCACTTTGAACAAGAGTATCAGCTAATAAAATGTAACATAATATAAAATGCTGTCTCAAAAATAATAACTATGTCTTTCTTTGTCTGTAGAAGGAGGGTTGGTTCTTCCGATGGCGCCCCTCATCCCTCTCCCTCCTACTCCAACAGACCCGGGTCCCCTGAGGGGTCCCAGGTCAGCGTCATGGGGGTCCACACGGTCCCCGGGAGCCCCAACACGCTGCACCGCACCGTGGCCACCAACACGCCGACCAGCCCCGCCCTGCAGAGACGCCTGGGCCAGGGCAGCCCCTCGCTGGGCCGACAACCAGCCGCCGTCCCCTCCAGCCCTCTGATTGGCCGGAGCCCTAAAACAGTAGGCGGTGGCGGGGTGCCCCCCAGCCCCCTGATGGGGCGGCGCATGGCGGGGAGCGGGCACAGCACGCCCGACGAGTTGGGTGCTGCCTCCCGCCAGGGGAGCGCCCAGCCCCCCTCCACCCCCGCCTTCCCCGTCTCCCCCCAGCTGCCGGAGAAGAGGCACATGTCCAGCGGGGATGCGGAGAGGACGGACAACAAGAACCTGACCCCAGCCAGCGGGGGCAGCACGCCAAACCTGACCGGCACACACACTCTGACCGGCACACACACTCTGCCCGACGGCCCCAAGTCCATATACGGTGAGACATGAGCGAGACGTTTACTGCCTCTCAGGATGTTTGTGTCCTCTCCACTTATCATTCCCCTGTCTGCAAACAGATGGCTATCCGGACATTAAGATGAACGTCAAGTTTGTTCAGGATACGTCCAAGTACTGGTACAAGCCGGACATCACCAGAGAGCAAGGTGAGGGCTCCAGAGTACAGACTGTACTCACTATCATTCATCAGTCTCCAAGTGAAAGAGAGGAAATAACAATAGTCACCATGTCCTTGTTTTGCCTCCTTGTTCGTCTCCTCTCTCCTCCTTCCAGCCATCAATGTGTTGAAGGACAGGGAGCCGGGGGCCTTCGTCATCAGGGACAGCCATTCCTTCAGAGGAGCCTACGGCCTGGCCATGAAGGTGGCCTGCCCCCCACCCACCATCCAGCAGAACAAGAAAGGTAGAGATCAGCGTGGAAGTTTCATTTTGAATCAGAATATCTGACCGTTTAAAAATGCTTTATTCAAAGGTTTTTAATCCCGCTTCCAGATACATTTTTACTTTAAGTCCAAGGCACATATTTCTATTTTCATATAAGTTAAATATGAATAATCTAAAAGGTATGGGTGAGTATAGCAGAGATTGGGATGGGCGAGGAATACCTGTTTATGTGTTAAGGGGAATGTGTTCATGTCCAAATGTTTTACTGATACTGTTTCAATGTCCTTGCTTCAGGACATTAAAAAGGGTAATAATATTTTTACATTTAAGGGATGTGTGTGTCCATGCTAAGGGGCAACGTTTTTTTTACTTACAAGGCAAAATAAAATATCTAGTGCTCACAAGATACTGATATGTTTGTCCATTTTTTAAAGAAAGAAAGAATATCTGTCTTTTTGAACAAGTACTCGTCTTCATTTCATTGTTGCTGTCTTAATTTGTGTTCCAGTTGGTGACTTGACCAATGAGCTGGTGAGGCACTTCCTGATCGAGACGAGCCCTAAAGGAGTGCGTCTGAAGGGCTGTCCCAACGAGCCCTACTTTGGTGAGCTCACCATCCAGTCCCGTTTGTTATCATCTCAAATCAGAGTGACTCAGCTCATCAGAGACCCTCTGTGTTTCAGGCTGTCTCTCTGCTCTGGTGTACCAACACTCCATGACTCCGCTGGCTCTGCCCTGTAAGCTCATGATCCCCGCCAAAGGTCAGCATCCCCCTTTTATTTTCAGATTGTATTTATGAATATTTTCTGACAGCATTGATCCAAGTTGTTCTCTATCTTGGCATTCACAGACCCAAATGAAGAGGCGCTGGAACTCGCCACCCCCACTGATCCAACGGTTGAACTCCTGAAGCAGGGAGCAGGTAAGCTGTGGACAGATGTTCTTATAAAAGGTTCTACCACTGCACCTCTGCTTCCATCATCATGGCAGAAAGCAACATGAATATGTTTTGGAATGGAAGCATGGAGGCACTTTATGAAGGAAGTCATAAGCAGAAGAACATAGTAGTTAATGGGACACTTTTCAGATATTGTTCCATCTAACTTAAAAAAGCTTTGGCTATTAAGGTGGCTTAAACAATACCACATTGTACTGGATTTTCACACAAATGTCTAGATAGTTCCTCTTGAAGTATACATTTAGAGTCAAGTATAACATACGTTGAGAGAAACTGAACTTATGCATACAGTTCAGAAGAAAAAAATACACATATGATGCACAGAATTAACAAAAACAAGCACAAAAAGACAAAATATGTTATTGGTTAGCCAATAATGATCAAGGACAAAGAAAAAATTATTTAACTTAACAAACACACTTACTGTACATAAAGCAGTAAAACTAAAGAACCCCAATATTTTTGTTAAATTTGACAACTGAGCCATATACTGTATAGTACATCACATTTTAAACTTAAAATATTTGATGAATATATCGTCCCACCTTGGTAAAATCCGACTTCGGCATGGGGCATGGCCTGTTTGCAGTATTTCCATGGTTTTTACATTTATCCTTAATTTGCTCACTTCTTGCCTTACAGTTCAGAAGGTTCCTGAGGAGGCTCATGGTAAATAAAGACTGCTTTGCTCTGCTCCATCGTGCACTCTGTGAGGATGCCTGCTCTCACAGAAACATTATTATGTGCTAGCCAAAACAACCTTTAGTGAAATGCATGTATTGAAGATAATCTAGTCACTGTGCTGTGTATGATACAACCCCTCCCCTTACATTTACCTGCATGCACTTCCTGTTTCTTTATTTATCTAACAATGCATCGGTGTTGTTTATTTCTAGCGTGCAACGTTCTCTACATCAACTCTGTGGACATGGAGTCCCTGACGGGGCCTCAGGCCATCGCCAAGGCTATCAGTCAGACGCTGGAGAGCAACCCTCTGCCCGCAGCCACCAGCGTGCACTTCAAAGTGTCCACGCAGGGCATCACGCTCACCGACAGTCAGAGGAAGTGAGTCAACGCGCAAAAACTTTCAAACAAGACGGCACATTGGGTTTAATTCATTTTATTCGCACACACCCACACGACCAGTGTATACATTTTAAATGTGAAAGGAGAGGTCGAGAAGCCTCATACATATCTTAAAAACAATAGCTAAAAATAAATAAGAAAAAATAAAATAATTTAGTAAAATATAACAATAAAATATGTGTGTTTATTTTTCTTAACGATGTCTTGTAATAATAAAAAAAAATAGATAAACAAGAGGCAATAATTAAGCAGAGAAACAGTGGTGCTTTGGCGCCCTCGTGTGTTGATTCTGAAGACGACACTATTTATTATTAAATATGCTTCTATCACATGGGAACTTTACAAATATAGAAATGTATGCTTTGTAGAAGGCATGTGTGTTTACTGCTGTGATTAATCTTCCTCTCTCGTGCTGCAGGCTTTTCTTCAGGCGACACTATCCCATTAACACGGTGACCTTCTGTGACATTGATCCCCAGGACAGAAAGTAAGCTAACTTGTTTCGTACAAATATCATAGACAAAAAATAATAATCTACGTCGCACATTATGGCTGTTGTAAGTTGAAAAAAATCATTATGGAACGTTGGAGGGGGCCATTTAAAAACCTGCTTTCTTCTAATAGGTGGGGCAAAGAAGGAGGTGGCTCAGTGAAGTAAGTTGAAATGCTTTAGGATAAATTAGTATTTGTGCATTTTAGAAATAATTGTTTAAGCTATAATGTTGCTCGAGTATCAAAAATGCTCTTCTCTTCATTGCCAACAGGCTTTTTGGATTTGTGGCGAGGAAACAAGGAAGCACAACAGACAATGTGAGCCACCTGTTCGCGGAGCTGGACCCAGATCAGCCCGCCTCCGCCATCGTCAGCTTCGCCTCCAAGATGATGAAGCGGTGAAACCTTTGGCGTCCGAATGGCAGCGGCCATTTTGAAATCTTCCTCCGTCATTGGAGTCGCCGGGACTCGATGGTGTCCTTTTTCTTTTCTGTTTCCTGTCGGTTTGTTTCTGTTTCCCTTCTCTCTCTTTTTCTCTCTGCCTTGCTGGTTTGTCTTGACTTTTTTGGAAGAGGTGAAGGATTTTGGCGTGGATCCAGAGCGGGTTGTAGAGGAAGTGCGGTGTGGAGCTGAGAACGTGACAAACACGAAGGCCATTGAAGGGAGAAAATCTACTAACGGGGGGAAAACCTGTACTAGAAGAAAAATGCTGGCTAAAGACTAAAGGAACAATGCTAAGTTCAGTCGAGGAACGCGTGAAGACTCGTATGTTTCAGGGGTTTTCTGTTGTCGTTTTTTGTTGATTGATTTACCAAAGGTAGTTGCAATACAAGTGCAAGAATGATGTAGCTATTAAGCCATTATTATTTCCTCTTTTCAAAAGATGAAGAAAAAAAAAAAAAAAGAGATTTCTTCTTGAACTCGTCTTCAGGAAAAAAAATGTTGGCCTTGATGGCTTTTAGCAAAACAGAGTCTGAAGACCTTATGCATGTTAGCTTGATCTTTAAGCTTGGTTCTTCTACCTTCCACCAAACTCATCTTGAAATCCTTTAGAGTGGTCGCTTCCAGGTCTGATGTGCGTCAGAAAGGGCTCTGCAGTGACCAATGGGAACTGCAAACCAGACTTTGAAAAAAAAAAAGAAGGAAAAAAAAGTGCACAGATGCATCACCTCGGCCTCCGGTCCAAGCCTGACCACCCCTCCTCTCGCTTTTATGGGATTACTGTCCTGGAAATCAGCAACTCCTGATCGCATGGCAGACGGAGAGAGACCACAAGATGGCGCCACTCATCCAGGCTTGGACCCCCTTCCCCCTCCCTTCCCCCTTCACCAACTGCTTGCAGTAGTGGATCTGTTGATAGACACTGAAACACACTGGAGATCACCAGGGACTGGCCCCAATGACCTGGACCTATGCACTGTTCTTTATGCATGTTGTTGTCCCAAATTGCACCCCCCCCTCCCCCTCCCCTTCCCTCTCCCTCATAGCTACATTCAACATCACTGAAAACATTCTATGCTGTGTGCTAAAAATGACTTTAAAACCTCCGGACACTGAGGTTGTATGACTTGTCAAAGACTGCATGAAAACTTTTTGTACTCTGAAAAAAAAAATAAGAGTCCTGAAAAAGAAGTAGAACAACCCATTGTTGAAGTAGTCACATGATGGTGAGATGCTTTATTTTTCCTTCATTTTTCTTTAGTTTTTGGTCCATTTGAGCCAGGGTTACCTTTCACTGTATCGAGGACAGTCCCGTCTTTGTTTTTTCCTTCCACAGTGTCGTCAAAATTTACATTTAGATACCTTTTAGGGCAAAAAGATTAAAAAACTTAAGGAGTTTCCACACTGTGCGCCAATGCCTGCTTGTTGAACACACGCTCAACCACTCACAATAAGCTAAGGAAAATTGATATTGATATAAATGTACATAGATATACTACTTTGAAAGGTGACATAGCGAAAAAGTATTTATTTTTGTTGCTTTGGTCCCTCATGATTACTCATATATACATATATTGTACAGTCTAGATAAATAAGATTACCTAACGGGGTTGAGAAAAAAAGATATACTTATTTTGGCTAATGATTTCAAAGTCTGACGATTTTGAAATGTGTTTGAATATATGGTGTACATTACTTTGTACATGTATATGTTTTATTTTATTTTTTTCGGCTTGTCATGTTTTTCATTTTAAGTTTTTGCGTTCTCTCAGAACGAGGTAGGGCATGAGTGAGATAGAAGCGTCTGAATTGCATGGACAGAAGCATTTGAGCGCTTTTTCGACAGCTCACAGAAGCTAACGCGTCGTAGATGGTAGATGATTTTTTGAAAAAGGGAAGCACGCTAAAAATGTCAGGAGCAAACCCTCTAATGCAATATGAAAACAGCACCCATGACAGTTACAATTATGATTTTGCCAAAGATTCAAAACACTATGGTGCATGTCGCTTTTACTCCATTTTTCTGTTCCGCACACGTTTTGCTCAGCTCAGTACGTGCAGAAATGTGTGTTTTTGGTCATTTCATTTACACAGGGGGGCCTGGGGTTTACACATCCACCATGAAGACCTTTTTTTTGTGCAGACCTCCATCGCCCGGTCCGCTGTGTCCCGGTTAGAAGTGTGTAAACGAAGCACTTACATTCACAATGCCAAAAGAAGAGTCCAAATTGGAGGTAAATTAAGTCGGACGTGTCTCTGTCAGACTGCCAAAAGGTTTCTGCTCCGGCCCTCTCGAAAAGTCACTGATTTATTTATTCTTATTTATTCTTTGTTTTAAAAAAAAATATCGGTTTCATTGTCATTATCGCAGTTCAGTGTTAAAGAATGGAAGAATGTGTGGCGGCGCTTTGTTTAAAGCAAAGAGGTTCAGTGCAAATGATTGACTACTAACAAAGCAATTTTTTGGGATAAATAAAAAAAGAATAATCTCCTAATTGAAAAAAGCATTTTGACCTGTTGGCTTTGAGTCGAGCGTTGCCATGTTTCAGTGAAAAAGAAGTGATTTCAGTGACCCGGTGTACAGATAGGACTTGTTGAATGAATGTGCTACAATGAATGTACAAAAGGGTCTCAGATTTTGTTTGCGCTTATCATTTACATTATATTGTCATGGCTTACCTGTTCCTAAGGAGAAAAAAAAACATTAAAGCAATACAAATCAGTTACATTCAAGACATTTGGGTGTTCTTTTAGATTTGAGTGTGTTTGTAAACGGTATGGTCCTTCCTCAACCTTAATCACTAGCAGCACTGTCAGCTGAATTCACCTCGTCAGGGTTCATCTGGAACACATGCTGCGTGTTCCTCATGTTCCGAGATTCACGAAACCAATCCCAATCTCCTTCCCACGTGCTGCTCTCCTCCCATTTTTACTTTTTTGTTCATTTTAAACTGAATGGCAAATGTTTCTCGCCTTAGATTCAACCTCTGCTCTTCCTGCATGTTTGTATGAAGCTATGGAAACAAATGATGACATTATTGACTACAGCCACAAAATGATCCGTTTTTGGCCCTTATTCCAAGAACAAATATTCCTGGAAAAGCTGTTTACATGGCTAATGAAAGTCGATAGTCGATAGTTTGCGTGCAGCTGTCCAAATGGGATCATTCTTAAAGTATTCCATCAGTGGTGGACAAATGACACCATGTAACCACAGCATTCCGTTTTCATTCCTTCAACCAGATTCTTGAAAAGTTTGGCGTTGCGATGTTTGTGCACATCCAGAAACTTGTTGATATCCAAGTCTTTCATACTGTGTCAAAGTTGGTGTGTTTCTCCTTGAGACCAGATTTATTTTCAACATGCATTTCTTTCCAAGCCTTGCTAACAGAGACAAATCTGGCAAGTGGTGGTGTGTAGCAAACTGTGACAAGATCCACAATACCACACATGCCCGTGTGCTGTTGTCCAAAAAGGCTCCTAAAACCTGAATTAAATCAGACTATGCCACATATCTTAATTGGTAAATGTCACATATAAAAATAGTCATTGATACGTTATGCAGTGCTCTAAATGACATATTTGTTATTTTTAGTTTTAGAGTGATATCACTACCATTTCTTTTATTTTGATATTCTTTTACAATTTGGTTCTGTTTTTCAGGTGATTCTCAGTTGTTATTCCTGACTAGTTCAGTTTTAAAGAAGCCAGAAAACGAAATACTCCAACACTACCACACGAACACAAACTGATTGATAACAGGTGTGTGTTTGTTGTGACCGAGACGCTGAGCCACTCGGGGGAAATCCAGAGAGAACCAGGCATCTCTCCAAGCAGTAGCCCGTCTGTTTGTTTGTCGGCTGCTGGAGCCCCACCACGCCTGAGACCGGCGAGAGTCAGACGGATGAGAGACAGCCAATAAAGAAATATAATCAGAACTCTGTGAGGTTCTCACGGCTGCAGACAGTGTTCAAACTCCCAAATATGCATGACACACTTCCCCCCTGACATATTACATACGCACTGTCGCTCTTTTTGCCTCGCCGCGGCACATTATGAGCTGTAAGGGAGGTACGCATCATGGGTCCTGGCTCAGTTCATAGACACTACTACATATAGGCCTAGATTAATTCATCCACACAACACAGACTCATGTAATGGTCCCATGCAGTGGGTGGAAGCCATGTTCCTGTTCCTGTCTGCAGCAAATGTGATTTGATTTGATTTGACACCTTTATTTGAACAAGGAAATCCAACTGATAGCAAAGTTTTCTTTTACAAGAGATCCCCAGTGCGCAGCATAAGTAAGAAGCACACTCAAAACCGAGCATATGTCTTGGCTGTAAAAACAACAGTGAGAGTTCAAGCGTCGGATCAGAGGCGTGACGCCCCGATACCGTGTGGCTCGGGGGTTCAATCGACGGACAATTCGTAGAATAAAAAATCAGGACCAGATGCCTCTCTGCTTTGAAATCGTCTTTAAAGGAGGAGGGCTTGGATGAAAACCACCGTGATGGTCCCTAGTTCGCTAAAGGTGTTATACGTCAAAGAAGCAAGAGAAAGAAGTATTAAATGTGTACGACCTGCGATCAACCAAGGTTCAGAAAGTCCTGACCAAGCATTTCTACTTGTCAAATAAAACACCAGTAGTTCTCCAGTCCTCAGTTCCATCCGATCTGGAAGATAAAAGCTTCAGTTTATAGCAAAGGCCAGGTTCGTTTGAATTTAAGAGTTAATGTTTGTGTTATGTGTTATGTGTAACGTTGCTGCCTTCTTGGCCAGGTCAGCATTGTAAATGAGATTTTATCTCAATGCTTTTTATCTGGTTAAATAAAGGTAAAATAAAAAAATGTAGCCTCCGCCAGTTCACAAGGGTTCTATCCTTCTTCATAGTTAGTATCTAGATGGGGGTAGATTCGCGTCAACTCTTGTGAGAAACCGACCAATGCTAACAATGACCACTCAAGGTCAATGCCTTACCTGAACCATATCCCTATATCAAAGCTTTCAACCTAGCCTTTGACTGATACTAACCTTGACCAATGAAGGTCAATGACATACCACAACCATGTAGCAAATCACTACCCCTAAATGTAATGGCAGTTCCTCCAACAGTTGTGGAGGTACTTCACTTCCAGAGAAAATACATTTTATTACCGGCTGTGCTGACACCAAAGATCAACTGCTTGATGATTTTGAGTGAGATCGAAAGTCATTTCAGATTGTCTTTCCCTCAGAAGTGAATTCAGTGTTGAAGTGCCGTGCAGAACATGAAGTGAAGTACGCAGTGGAAATGTGTACCGTCTGTGAGAGGCCTCTCACCCAGGTATGAGCTTCCTACACACAGGCCCGATTGGGAAACACTTGACCCGTACTCACGCAGATGCCACTGGACTGTAAATATTCAAATAAGGGAAAGTTCCCACTCTGTCCTTATCAAATGGAAAAATCAACCTGCTTGTTTTGGTTTGCACTCCGCCTCCTCCGTGTATCTTTTCACCTCCCAAAGAGGGCTTATTACAGGCTCCTTTCTTCCTACCAATCGCCCATGACATGATGACATTTTCAGGCGTATAATGAAGAAAAATCTTGGAGGAAATTATTAAAAGCTCATCATTGTTTTTCTTTTGCTCAAGTGCTGCTCCTGCCAGTGGTAATCTTCTCAAGAGAAGTTTTGATTTAGCCCATTTGCTACGGACTACACTCGTAACCCCTGACATATCCGCAGTTTGAATGATTGTCAGCTCCTGAGGATTTCCTTAAGATAACAGTGGAGGCTTATTAGGGGTGGAAATGCTACGCTGGGCTTCTCTTCACATCCACATGTTGGTCGGAAAGAGGCCGGAGAGAGCTCTGAGACGAGCCAGCTGTTCCCGCTCCAAAGCCGCATAACAGGCCCTGTTAGAATCTCGCAGTGTCCCCGCAACAGCTCACTGACTCCCTTTTAGCTTCACGCTCGTGTGAAATCTCTCCGGAACAACGATCCTGCATCAGACAATCAGCGCTCATATCTTCCGCACCGACGTACGTGTTCGAGTCGTGGGAGTATTCAAATCCAACTCAGCTTTCAAGTTTTATGAGACTGAGTGGAGACTATGAGGCATCTCAGTCAAGCATTGACTTAGATTTGGAAGGAACAGATTTCATCCAGCGAGGGTCAGGATAAGGATGTTTCCTCTTGTCTATGCCACAAGGATATATACAGACGTTGTACTTACTTTGTGGTTTCAGAGACGGTAGAGGTTTTTTTAAAAGTGATTTGAATTTTGATGGAAGAGTTCACATTTTGACAGAAGATAGTCAGCATAAAGACAAAGCCATGTGAAGCACCCTCAAAACTACACTTTTGTACAGAATTAACAAGATACATATGTTAACTGAACTTTAGAGATGCCGGTAGCTGGATTTGATTTTTTGGGCATAATTGATTTACTCCTCCCTGTTTCCAGTCTTATGCTAAGCTACGCTAACTGTCTCCTGGCTAGAGCTTCATATTTAGCATACAGACATGAGCGTAGTACATTGAGAGAAAACACCAACTGTCATAAATGTGAAAACTCCCAAACTTGAGTCATGTCGGGCGTAAGTGTTTCTCTTTTACGACGTGGCCCTTGAGGAGCCTCAGGGCTCTTTCCTCGGGCCAGCTTTAAAGCGCCACAATGTGTGGAGTTACCTGCATAATTTCTTTCAGATGCTTTTATTAAAACATTTCAAAGGTGATATTATTCATGTGACATGTATCTACAGTACAAGGCGCCTTTTTGTCTCCACATCTGAGATCTTATTCCTGGAATGTTTTCCAAAGCAGAAAGAAGGAAAAGAATGCTTTGACTTGAAGATTCATCTGGCTTCGGAGTGCCTTTTGAGGTGAACATGTGCTCCCAGAGCTGGAGCGATTTCTCCTCAATAGTTGCCTAGTATCGTAACTTTGAGTGTACCAGACACACAAGTGGTTTTAAATCTTGGATCGATGCAACACCATCAGTGTCTGTCCAAAGTTCATAATTGCTTTGCTTTGAATAGAGTTTTTTTCGTGAATAGGCAGTGATTATTACCAGCATGAATGAACATGACCACCAACATTTATTCCCCGTGTTTTAGGCAGCACCGATTCCATTACACAACCATTATTTAGTCTATGACTTCTGCCAATGGCAATACAAATCGAGACGATCTCCTCCACGATGGAACCCACACCCCTCGACACATTCATTCAGAGACGGAGCTGGCAGAAAACTGCAAAAAAAGTATCCATCGTAACCCGCCTTTTTATCTCCTCTTAAAACATCATATTTTATCCAAAACTTGGATTCCTATTCTGCTTTTCCCCCTTCATTTGAAATCATTTTGTTTGAAGAAACAGACAGAGAAGTATGCACATTCAAACACCCCGCATATTGTATATGCTGTAAATTCCTTCATCTGTAAACTGCACATTGTAAATCTTTCCAACATAGCAGGAATGCTTTCAGGAAAGTAGGAGTTTAATATTAACAGGATATCATATATATGATACTCTATCTTCAGTACGGTATGTGCTCTTTCTCTCATTCATAATACCTTCTTTTTCACCGTGTTCTGCTCTGTTCTTTTCCTTTCCTTCTACAAACTTGCTTTAAATTCATAACGTTTCTGCACTCAAAGGTAAACTTATATTGAATTATCATATAAAATACTTCCATGATTCATCTTGCATGACAAGCAGAGATTATGGGATCAAGACTGGCATAAGC